CAGGAGATGGGTTAGCTCTCTCTCCAGGCTAGATTTTTCTATTTTTTATGAATTTTGAAACTCATGATGCTCTAAGATGTAAGCATTTAGGGTTTTGTTGATCTTTTTATTTAGTTTGAGCGGAGAAGGAGGAACTTGTGGGCTATTAGGATTTAGGATCTCTTTGTCCGCACTTTTGCTGTAAGAATATATATAACAATGACTGAGATTGTGGTTGAGCTCTGTCACGATGAAGAGAAATTTGATTTTTATTTTGTACATAAGGTAGGAATATATGGACTTTGTGTCTAATGATGATGGCTGGTATTGGGGGGAGCTAAATTTGTAACTTTTTATGTAAATATTTATGCCGTGGTGTTAAAATATTCCTTCCGACATCTATCTTCTTGGCTAGGTATCACTCCTTGTCATATTGAAATAATTAACTGCCAAGCTTACATACCTACTAATATTCTATCACCGAGTATCGGGATATGATAAAGTTAGACCGAACAAACCGAACCGAACTACACCGAACCGACTTGTAACGGTTCAGTTCGGTTTTGAATTATAGGCGGTTCGGTTCAGTTGTTCAAATTTTGGTAAAAACCAAACCAAACCGACCGGTGCTCACCTTTAGTCTCGACCCTGGCTGAGACACTCGTCTTGTTTTGAATCTAACTTTCCCGTACGATGTCAGAATGAAGTGATCCAAGGTGTGTTAGAAATCTAGAGGAGGTATCTATAACTTTCATCTTTTGAGCTTCTTCACATTCGAAGCGAGATAGTCTCGGCAAGGCCAAGACAGTCTCGGTCTTGGCTGAGACACTCGCCTTGTTTTGACTCTAACTTTCCCGTACGATGTCGGAATGAAGTGATCCAAGATACGTTAGAAAACTAGAGGAGAAATCTACAAATTTTATATCTTTGAGATTTTTCCGATTCGAACCACATCAAAGCCAAAATCTCCATTCTTCTCCAAGACACAGATTGTGTCTTGCTGGTGTAAAACAGCCTGAATGGTCTCGGGTATTTTATATCGAACTCCCTCGTCCGATATCGGAATGAAGTGATCCAAGATGTGTTAGAAAACTCGTGAAGATATATACAACCTTCTATTTGAGATACACTCATGTGATGAGTGAGAGACGAGTGACGCTTCATCCTTTGCGATCAAAACGTTACTCCCGGTCGAGTTATTTCATCATCATTTGACCGTCTCATTGACTTGTACGCCTGGTCAACTTACTTCATGCATTTGTTGACGTTAGATAATTATTCTTAACTTAGATAATAATATTCATCGTCTTCTCTTCGTCTTGAGCTGCGTATGGGAACCCATAGGTAATTTTTGACGCCTAATAGCACCCATAGTAGGGCTTTCTTTCTTCTTCGATCACGATGCCTGGTTCTGAGTGTAGGCCTGTCCCTTT